TGCAGTTGTTAAGATTCTTATCTTTTAATCTCTTCTTGATTCGTCTTGGCACATATTGTCATTTAAGTTTGCTGTTCATGATTGGAGTTACCTCAGTGCATTGTGTGCGATATCATACAAAAGTTATATCTTATTTTCTTGTTCTTGGTAGTTTATCAGCCGAAGAATTTAGATTAACAATAAGCTATAAAGTCGTGATATCAGAATTTGAGGTTCTGGGATTACTAGTTTTGTCCACTCAGCATAATAACTTTTTTCCTGTGAAAGCTTGGTTTTGTCTTCAGTCTTGAATAATTTTTTCCCTTATTTGGCTACATTTGCTAGGTAAATGTTCGCATCAGATCCCAAACTAGCTTTATTTCCACAAAAAATACAAGAATATGTTTTTTCTTAATATCCCCATCTCTATACCAGTTATTTGAAGCAGCATATTCTATTTGGCGTGAGTGGAATATATTTTATCTTCATATTTATCGGTATCCTCTCCTTTTTAGGTAAAAGTATTTTTATTGGTAAATATACTTGTGATAAATTTACCTTCAGACTTGCCATGAAACGCCAACCACATTGTTGGCTCCCCTGCCGACCCCACAATATTAAGTGCATTGGTTTGTTGGCTGTAGTTAGTATGCCTCTAAACACTCGAAATTATAACAAGAATATTTATTGAATCCTTCACGTATTTCTTATGCTGTATTACTGTCTGTCTCCTTACTCTTGGAAGACCAATACATGATTTAATTCTAGACATTTTGGATCAGTTTAGTTTAAGTGCTGTCTGCAAAAATGTAAACAGGATTTGCTTTGGTCTGATGACACTTTAAAAGGTGCTATAATAATAAAAATATGTCCTTTATAATATTTCATTTGCTTCACGTTGCTTATGAATGATGTCTAACTTTGGGCCTTGGTTATCAACGTTTTTAAGTTTTAACAGGAAATTCCTAAATTTTCCTTCTTATAGGACATGTTTCAGGAGAAAAGGAGCATTTTGGAACCAGCAGGTGCTCTTGCCCTTGCTGGAGCTGAAGCATATTGCAAGTACTATGGCCTCAAGGATGAAAATGTAGTAGCAATAACCAGTGGAGCTAATATGAACTTTGACAGATTGAGATTGGTAACTGAGCTTGCCGATGTTGGGAGACAGCGGGAAGCTGTACTGGCGACTTACATGCCGGAGGAACCTGGAAGCTTTAAGAGATTTTGTGAACTTGTGTGTTGCTTAACTTTTCTAGACTACTTCGCCATTATCCCCATTAATGTTTAAGACTTTAAGTAAATGCTGCTTATTGGTTGCAGGTGGGACCAATGAATATTACAGAATTCAAATACCGATATAATACTGACAAGGAAAAGGCTCTAGTGCTGTACAGGCAAGATAACTATTTCCTGTTGAATTAAGTGCATTATTTTGAATAATGAAGAAAACCTTCGTGTTGGATTTGTCTTTCTTGTAAACGCGTGCTACCGAATGAGGTAACACATCGTATGGATGAGAATACATGCTTTGAAACTTGACAATCTGACTCGGCAAAATTATTTCTGTCTATTTTTTTATTTTATCCAGTGTTGACCTCCGCACAAAACTAGAGCTCGAAGCGATGGTGGAAAGGATGAAATCAGCTAGTCTACATACCATTAATCTGACTGATAATGACTTGGTCAAAGATCATTTGCGACATTTGGTAACCATCTTTCTAAATCTTTTTTTTTTTTTTTTTGGTTGAAAATGAGATATTAAGACTTCATCCATCGTTGGCTCTTGTTGATCATTTGAATTGTGAAACATATTGTTCATTCAGCTAGATTTGTATATGGTAGTTTTTCCTATTTTCAATTTTTTGGATATTAAGCCTTTTTTTGCAGCAAGGGTGAACCATTTGTATTTGCACTTCTCTTTTACATACCGAAAGGGGTGGGAGGTTCATTATAGAAATTTCACATTTAGACTTAATGTGGTTGGTAACTGAATATGCATTACGTGCATGAGTTCACAAAGTTATACAGAATTCCTACTTAAGTAAATTGCCGGACATTGTAGTTTTTGGGCTGCTGAGAAGGTCTCCGCTGTTAAAAATTAATAAATCGCCATACAAGTTGGTCATGCTGGTTTGGGACACAGTTTCGCGTTGGTAATTTGGACATTCTAGAAAGAGAAGGATGGACTATGACACAACATGTCTCTGGTATAATGAAGATCTTTCTCAGCATAGAAATACCATTCATTTTCGCACTTATTTTATTTCAAGACAAAGCTCTGAAGTTTTTGCATATGATTGATCTCTGGGTTTGGTCTGTTCACTGTTTTACACACAACATTTATATTTAGTGACTTGTTTCGGTTTCAGAGTTGAATGATTAATTTTTTGGGAGGTATTTTCTTATTATTTTATTTATAGACTTACGAGATGATAAATTTCCATCAAATAATTACCGTTGGGAATTTTATGGGTCAAAAAAGGTAATAAATTGATGCAAATATGATTTCAAAAGGCATTCATATGACTGTAGAACCTATAACCAAATCATTCAATTGTCGATTGAGTGGTTGTGTGAAAGGACATGCATTTATATTCCAAACTATCATTGATTCATCAAATACAAATTCTTCCTTTTCCACTTTAAATTTCATAATTTAGAAATGTACTCAATTTCTGGACTAAGTAGATTGTGAATTTGATCTTGATAGCTTGTGAAATTTATTTTGTCCCTTTCAATTTATCCTATTGCCAAAATCTCTTATATGGACTAATTGGCTACTTGAGTATTGATGTAGAAGTTCTTCGATACATTTTTGTATATGATTAGTTGCAACATACGTGTATAGTGTAGATTGTCATTTATGTCCTTGACGGAAAAGGAAATCTCCTTAGTCTTCTACATAGATGGCTCAATTCATAAACTCGTTAAGTAATCAGTTTGAGTTGACTTCAATTTGGATCTCTTTCAGATGGGAGGCCGATCAAATGTTAAGAACGAGCTTCTTTGCAGATTTGTTTTCCCCGAGAGACCAGGAGCTTTGATAAAATTCTTGGATGCTCTAAGCCCACGTTGGAATATAAGCTTATTCCATTACAGGGGACAGGTTGCGATCTCCAAGCTTGTCTTCATTATTAGCCCCTGTTTGGTACCGATTAAAATCTGGATTGTAGTTTAAGTCAAAGTTAATAATTAATTTTTAACCATATATTTTATGGGTCCCATAACTTTTTAATCACATGTTTCATTAACTTCTGTTAAAATTTACTAAAAATCAGATTTTGATCTCCATCAAACAGGGTTACGTATCATTTTCATGCATATACTAATTACAACATTCATGCTGTTATTATTTCTTGATTGACCGATTTCACTGTCACTACAGGGAGAAACTGGTGCAAATGTGTTAGTAGGTATTCAAGTGGCTCACACTGAGAGGGATAAGTTCCATGCTCGTGCAAAGAGTCTTGGATACGAGTATGAAGTAGAAAGTACCAATGAAGCATTCCAGCTTTTAATGTGATGAAAGCGGTTATTTAGCTTAATCTGGTTAGGTATTAGTTATCCAAGCTAATTTGCTGAAAGACCGTATGTTCTGCATTATCTGTCAAGGCAGAGAAGGAAGGTGTCACTTTTAGTCCTCGACCACTTCTTCTGACTTCTATGTGATTATGCATGTCGAGCACTCGTTACTTTTTAACAGTTTGTATCCCAAGCCTCGAAAATTAGCTTAGGCCGAGAATACTCTCGAGATCCAATGTCTTCTTGTGGTTTTCAGGCAATGTGATTATGCTTATTAGCATTTGTTCCAGCAGCTAACCACGTTATCCATTCATTGAAGTTGGATCTTAAATTCTTAATCATTTTGCAGAATGAAAAAATTATGTTGCAGGCTTGTTAACATTTTAAATCTCAGAAAATTGCTCTTGTAAAATAGCAGCAGGCACTCATAACCAGGCAGCCTCGGACTGTACCAAGCAAAGCCCAAAATTATATATACCGGTGCACGGGCCTCTACAGTCAAGCCATGACTGGCTGTGCTTTTTAATTGCCGATCGCCAGCACATTTTGTTGGGATTTTGCATTAGAAAGTGCCAAAAGTACAAAGGCCTCAATTGCGTACTGAAAATAAAATTTTGAGTAATACTATTCAACACTATTGTTTTTAAACATTAGTTTAGATAGTAACTGTATGACACCTGTTTGGAGGACATTTTTTGGACAGCAAAATTAATGTTCCTTCGTTTCTTTTTTACCAACACACTCTTATGTGGGTCCCAGGTAACCAAAAAATGGTCAAAAAATTACTTTTCTCTTTCCAAAAAATATCCTCCAAACAGGGACGAAATGATAGGTTCACTTAAATTAATGTCTCATCATATATTTAATTGATTATATAAAGTGTAATTACTCAAGATTGATGTTCTAACACCACTAGTGCTAGATAATATTATTTTAAAATTTTGTGGTGATCGAAACTTACCCTTTTGAATTGTTTGGTCAATTTTGTTGAAGCAGAGTTTGTAGCTTTGGAAAGGCAATTTTAGCATCAATTGAAAAAAGGAAGCAATTTTTGTATGATCATCACTTATGAATCTCAGGTCAAGCTTTTAGCAGACGTTAATTATAAATTAACTACTCATATATGTGACAGAAGGGTTCGTGTGAGGTGTACCATTCGCATGCTACAAATTAATTGGTTTAGAGATATTGAAGTGGACTGTGCTAGTTTAGAAATAATTTGGATCATAGATTAAATTCAATGGTTGGGTTTAATCTTGTGATCAATTATCATATGTTAGTATTGTCACTTTCAATCTTGACTATAGTACAATATTTAAATTTAAATTCAAATGGATTTCGCTCTATAATTACAAGACTTCTTCATTTCTTAAATTTGGACTTGGCATAACAATAGAGAGAGCGGAGAGATAACTAAGTGGGAGCATTTGAAATTTCCGGCGAAATTTTTGGTGGCTTCTGACGGATCTTTTCTTGATATATCTATTGCCATTCCGTGGACAATGGTGTATGATTCGGTATAGCACAAATCTGAGCTCAACATCATAAGACACTCCATCGGTGGTGTTGAAGAAGCTTTGGGTCGATTGGTTTGTTTTTACACTTTGAGAGTTTATATTTCCGCATTGTAGTTGTAATAATCATTTGTAATCTACACTTTAAACTCTATAGTTCGTGGAGTGGAAAAATTGTTAGTCCATCATCGTAGTTTTTCTTGTTCTTTTTGTGATTTTTACAAATCGTAGAATAACGTTTAACAATTCGTCTATTGAGCACACATCAATTTATTGATGATCTGATGCATATCTATATCTACACTCATCAAGAGCATTTATTTTTGTATGTACACACTGCCTACAATTGAATTTGTGACAGGATGAGATAGCAACCCTGGGCAATGGCATTGGTATCATTGGGAAACATAAAACAAAATCCAACCCCAATTGACTTCTATTCTACAAAACCCAGTTTCTGAAACCTTGCAGTACCATTTAATAGCATTTTCAAGAGATTGACCCTTTGTTGATGTTACATCCAATGCATCCTAAGGTATCATTAAAGAAAAAATGACAAATTCTGTAACTTTCGTATAATCTTATCTAATTCCAATTATGTCGAACATGTTTTAAGATTTATAAACCCATCTATGTATTTCTTGTTTTTCGCTCTTCTTGAGAAACTCACAATTATTCTGGAATTATAAGGACTAAGATGATTGTGTGAATTTATGAATCTTGTTGATTATGTTGTACAAGTGCGTTTGAACAACGAGTTTCTTATCTTCCTTTTCTTGTTTAGAAATCATATGGCTTACTGATAATGACAAATTCACCTCACTTAACTGCGACATAATATGTTAAAACATGTTTCTTAAGTAGAAAATTTGGACCCCAGTTTGACCTTTATTCCCAAGATTCCTCTATAAATTCTCCCCAACCTGCTTCTGTTCCATTAAGTCATCAGTTATTATCCACCACCGTCACCTCCGCCACTGCCACTGCGGGAAACTTACAAAAGGAGTTCCTTTTAGTCTCTCTCTGGTTGCAAAGGAAAAAAACATGGGATTCTTAAAGTGTGTACTAGGTGTATTTCTTGTTGTTTCTATGGTTTTGTCTGTTATTGGAGATCCTTTAGTTCCTGCATTATGCATTTTTGGGGACTCTGTTGTTGATGTGGGAAATAATAATAATTTGCAAACACTTATAAAGGCCAACTTCCCTCCTTATGGAAGAGACTTTGTTACACATAATCCTACTGGAAGGTTCTGCAATGGAAAGCTTGCCACAGATTTCACTGGTATGTAATTTTTCTTAACAATTTTCTCTTCTTTCTGTCTATTTGTTCTCTCATGCCCTTATTTTCATGTATATTTACAGCTGAGTTCCTAGGATTCACTTCATACCCACCTGCTTATTTTAGCCAAGAAGCTAAAGGAACAAACATCCTTAATGGTGTCAACTTTGCTTCAGCTGCATCTGGTTATTATGACAGAACAGCCCAGCTTTATGTAAGCACATGTTAACCTGTATACATATACAGATTTATGAATATATACATATTTTTGTAACATGGTTTTGTATTGCAGAGGGCTGTAACATTAACACAGCAGCTATCATATTACACAGAGTGGCAAAGCAAAGTAGTGAGTTTGGTGGGGAAGGCCAAAGCTAATGCTATATTCTTAGGAGGAATTCATCTTATAAGTGCAGGAAGCAGTGATTTTATCCAGAATTATTACATCAATCCAATGCTTAACAAAGCCTACTCACCAGATCAGTTCTCAGATATTCTCTTGCAATCCTACTATACCCTCGTACAGGTATAGGTTTTAGATAAGACGCTTCAACATAATTTTATAAAAATTTTACACGGTGGGGCAACTTTGTATCAACATAAATGAGGTTTTTTGGACAGGATTTGTATGCTCTGGGGGTAAGGAGAATTGGAGTTACAACTCTACCACCAACTGGATGTTTGCCAGCAGCCATTACTCTATTTGGTTCAGGAAGCAACCAGTGTGTTTCAAGATTGAACCAAGATGCTGTTTCATTCAACAACAAACTTAACAGCACGTCCCAAAATTTGAAGAGCAAACTTCCTGGACTCAAACTTGTGGTCTTTGACATTTACAATCCTCTGTTAGAGCTTATTGCAAAGCCCATTGATAACGGTATTAAATTTTGATAAATTTATATATACTTGTTTGATAACAGTTTTAAACTTTTAAATAAGGTAGTTCAATATGATTTTTAAAGCACAGAAATGTGCTGTTTTCAAATCTCGATGCCATCAATTTATGAAAATTGTTCTATTTCGAGCTTTTGTCCAGGATTTTTTGAATCAAGGAGGGCTTGTTGTGGGACTGGTACGATTGAGACATCATTTCTGTGCAATGAAAGATCTGTTGGGACATGCTCAAATGCTACGCAGTATGTGTTCTGGGATGGATTCCACCCCTCTGAATCCGCTAATGAAAAGTTGGCCCAAAGTTTACTGGAACAGGGGTTTGATCTCATCTCTTGAAGCCACCCATAGTTGCACTAATTCTCTGTTGACCAGTTTTATGATTACTCATATATTACATGTATTAGGGCTACAAATGTTTTTGTTTCCTAAATTTGATTATCATGTTTAAGAAATTCTATCTTATGTAACAAACTGGCTTTTATCTTTGGGTTGATTGTAAAATAAAATTACAAGCGAGTTAGTTTTTTGATGGAGTTATTTACGTTCTTTCAATAAATATACCATTGTCGTGGTTATAGATGTCTTGAGTTGAACAATTCCTTGATCATTTTCGCAAAAAATCATGCCTTTCGTTCGTGCTACCAAAGAAATGTTTGGAGGATTATATTCCCTCCACAACACCACCACCCCCATCCCATGGAAAAAATAATAATAACAATTGACATTAATAAATTTTGGACCCCTTAGGACAATCTGTAAAGTGAATTGAATAGTGGTGGCAATGGGTCGAGCCAGCTTGACCCATCTACCTACGAGCTTGGTTGGTCAAAGTGACGAGTCGATCTCAAGTTCGTTCAAGCACGAGCCGACCTAGTGAGCTTAAGAGCCGAGCTGAGCCCACGAGCTCAATTTTTTTTTATAATTTTTTTGACTTTTTTGTTCATATTTTTTATGAGCCCACTAGCCGTGAACTTTAGGCTCGTGGGCTAGGCCCATGAGCCTTTTGCGAGCTCATCGAATGAACCTCCTTCGGCTCAGGCTCCAGCTCGATCCGAAACAAGCCTGAGTTATTTATAGGCTAACCTTTGACGAACCGATGAACTACTTGAGTACTTGACCCTTTTGTCACCCCTAAAATTGAATAACACTATACTTCGGTATAATGTAGCGAAATATATAATATGACGTCCCTCGATTTGGCCAATTAGTTGTCATTATAGGCCATTCATGCTAAATTAAATAATTCAACCTAACAATTCATCAGGACCCACCAAATTTATAGAAAATTTCAAGGTTCCATTTGGAAGCCATTTTTTTCAAAATGCATTTTTTTCTCTCTTCTTTTCAACCACGTATTCTTAATTAAAATAATATTACACGTAAATAAAAAAAAATTCTTATTTTTCAACCACACATTTCACATCAATTTACTATTCTAAAATACATTTTTACATAAAAATGCTTATCAAACACCTCCAAACCTAACTAAAAAGGCAGTTGAGAGCTATCGTTTTTTTAATTTAAACCATATATAGCAATAGAATATCCGTGTGATTTTGCTAAAAATTAATTTTAGTAAATTTTGATAAAAGTCGATAAAATATTTAATTGAAAAGTTGATAAAAGTTCTAAAATTCTAGACAAATTATAGTTAAAATTAATTATTGATTTTCACATAAATTTTTATTCACTTTAGCTAAAGCACAAAGGCAAGATTTGACAGCGGAATATCTATCTTTTTTATTTAAGCATTTTCTTTATTATTTTTAGTAAATCCTTAATATCGACTCTAAATATTGCTATCCTCTTTTCTGACGTTTTAGAATATATTTCCAATCTTAATTAATATTTCTTTTCTTAACTTATCTGATTCTTTATTTGTACCATTATTTTGCTGTTAATTTTGGATATGTAAGTACTGACCTTTTGTAGTGATAAGGTTACGTAGAAGATACACGAGCATACTAAAATAAATAAAATAATAAACGAGAATTTAATCAAATAAAACTAATATATTCAATTTATTTTAGAATTAAATTATTTAAATTTTCAATAAATTTAAAAGAAAATAATTAACAATTAACTTTAATTTTTGTGGCAGAACTTTCGTTTTTACTAATTTCAAGTTCAGGAGAGATAAGCCCACCGATCACCGCCCATGGTTTTAATCCAATGTGTAACGCCAGCAACGTGCCATCCTAACTTGCATGCATGACACTTGTCATTGTTGGGCACATTCAACTATCACAGGTATCACTTTAGATTTTCTTATATTTCTCTCACTCTCGCCCAATTCTAACATCGTAAAACACAATCAACAACAACTTTCAGCACATTTTGATTGATTCCTGAAGTGATTGTTTCAATTTCAGTGTTTTCAGAGAGTTTTTTGAGTGAATAGAATTGGCAAAAAATGGCTTCAAGGCAAGCGACGAAAGAAGAAACAGCTGAGCAAGCTGCAAGAATTGCAGCGGCCGAGCTTAGTGATGTGAACAGAGAGAGATCGGAGAGAGAAGAAGTCGCTAAAA